AAACCTGTCCTAGCATATTCCTTCTTCCTCCTCTTTTTCCTGAGATGCTCCGCCCTTCTAAGAACTGCTAGCCTGCTTCTCAACTCCTCTTGCAACACCTTAATTCCCTCCCTTTCTTCTTCTGTAGCCTTTTTCCACTGCTTTCTTAACTGTCTCCTTTCCTTGACTAACTTCTCTATTTCTCTCTGCCGCCTAGACTTACCTGACTGTACCCTCTCACTCCTCTTTCTCTCATGCACCCCAAACCTCTCTACACCATATGAATACATTATATCTCCCATCTTTTCTAACCTTTGTATTGCATTTCCTCTAAGCCTACTCAAGATTACTGACAAGTCTCTATTAACTATCTCCCATTCTTTACTGTCATTTGCTCTAGGCCATCTAACTCTAACCTTTTGCTCCATAGTTCTTTCTCTGGCTAGCATACTGGCCTCAGTGTCACCTGCATCCTCTCTTACTACCCCCTCCTCCTCAGTGGCAGCGTTACTGATATCCTGCGAACTGTGGTTTTCTACCTGCCGCTGGACTTCATCCGACTGACTCGACTGACTTCTTAGGAAGTACTGATCAATGCGGCTACTCTGCCCTTTCTTTGCCACACACTTCTTCTTTCCCTGATGAGTTCTGAGGCCTTTCACTGATGTTACTTTCTGCCAGCCGCAAGGACAAACCTGAAGCATCTTGTTCTCAACTATGCTACTTTTGCCCTCTACAGATGCGCTCACCTTGCCCTGAGTGCTGCTAATTCTAGCACTGGTGGATAGGTCCGTGCCCCTATCCTTCACTGAGTCACCGGTCCAAGTCATAGTCGTGTCCTTTCCAATGTCTGTTACCGTGTAATCCACCTGTGAGTCATCTTCCACCCCTGCTCTCGCTGACTCTTGGGGTATTTTCCCTATGTTGGCTGTAGCTAATTTTGGTTGTAATAAGGCTGCTAGGCCTCACCACTGCTACCATGGGTTGCTAACCCATGCCAGCACCGCTGGGGTCTTTTCCCTCCTGTCAGCTGTCTTTCCAAGCGGTCACATGGTCTTTCCCTTGTTGTCAGCTGCCCTATTCACAGCAGTCACTAGCTGGGCTAGTTCTGAATTCAAATAAACACAAGAAGTTTGTGCTCTAAAAAAAAAAAAAAAAAAAAGGGATCAGCACTCAGTGAATAATCCTCCTAAGCCCTACGATAAGCTATTATGGCAAGGCTTAACTATACAGACCCGTGAGCAGTGATAACTAACATGTCTTTGGGGTCATCGGGTGGGAACCTCCTTTCACCGGTGTTTCGTCTAGTTAGTCCCACGACACCTCCAGGAGGCTAGACAGTGATCTCTGGCGTCCCAGAGACACTCCCCTAATGCCAGGTCTCACTGCTCCCCACACTAACCGAACAACCTCCTTTACCTTACCTATACTACCACAGAGGAGGTAGACCCAGGGAAGGAAGCCTTGTTAGGCTATCACACTCCCCCGCCGGGTTAGGCTGTACAGTCTACCTCCCCAGGACGAGCCCTCACAACAATGACACCTCCAGGAGGCTGGACAGTGATCTCAGCCCAAACAGCACTGCCAACTTCAACCAAGCCCAGGCTCCGTTTATGCGAGCTCCAGGCAGAAGCAATGCTGATACTACCTTTACTAGCACATTCACCATACTCTATTTCACACGCTACATAGCATAACTACAATGTAAGCTAAAGTTAAAGGAGATAAATGAACTCACAGGATCAGCAAACACACTCACTTTGCAGCATGGTCTCAAACAAAATGGATTCAAATAGGCCACTCCCACACTTAAATAACCTTCCTCTTCCTGGATTTCCTTCTTACTTACACATGGCTTTCTCAGCCCAAACAGCACTGCCATCTTCAACCAAACCCAGGCTCCATACATGCGAGCTCCAGGCAGAAGCAATGCTGATACTAGCTTTCCTGTCACATTCACCATACTCTATTTCACACACTACATAGCATAACTACAATATAAGCTAAAGTTAAAGGAGCTAACTGGACTTACAGGATCAGCAAGCACACTCACCTTGCCGCATGGCCTCAAACAAAATGGATTCCAATAGGCCACTCCCACACTTAAATACTTCCTCTTCCTGGATTTCTCCTGACAGGAAGTGGATCTCTCCACCTGATCTCAAGGAGTTATGTGCCCTGCTTAGTAGTTCCCCCTGCTGGCCCCCAGCTGACATTATTTCTTCTGTAATAGATAAACTGGCTGCATTTAATTGCTTCATCTGACATTTCCCTCACTGTCTTCCTCAAATTCTGTCCCCGCACTCCGAGTTCCCCCAGGAGTGAGACAGTTGATCTTGCTATGAATCCCCTACACCCCACTTCCACTGGACAAATCCTAGTCTTCCATCCTCGCTGCTCAGCTTCTGCTCCTAAGTCTGCATATCTAAGCTTTTTTCTTTCATAGGCTTCTTCCACTGAGTCTTCCCAAGGAACTGTCAGCTCAATGAAATAAACTATCTGTTGACTCACTGACCACAACACTAAGTCAGGCCTCTGCCTGGTACAGACTATTTCCTGAGGAACAACAAGCTTTCCCCCTAAATCTACTTGCATTTCCCAATCACAAGCACCTTCTAGGCGGCCACACCCTTGCCTCCTCACTAACTTATCCCTTCTGTATTTCTCTCCCTCACGGACAAACTGAATTACTAAGCCCCTATCCTTAACACCTTCTGAATTCACCTGTCTTCGTTTCCCTTCGATGCCTGCAGCTAAACATTTCAACACCTGATTATGTCGCCATGTATATCGGCCTTGTGACAAGCTAACTTTACAGCCTGACAAAATATGCTTTAAAGTTGCGGTACGTGAACACAATGGGCATGATGGGTCCTCATTTACCCACAGTTTTAGGTTCTGGGGGGTTGGTAACACATCGTATGTAGCCCCTACCAGGAATCTAATACGATTCTCCTCCATACTCCACAGGTCCCTCCAACTAAGCTTCCTCTTCTCTACACTTTCCCAATTCAACCACTGTCCCTGTTTAGCCTGGGCCACTACCTTTGCACCCCTTACTATCTCTTCCTGTCTGCGTATCTGTTCTACAACCAGCTTTCTTTTATCTTTGAGGCCTGCTGTATTCCATACCGGTTTACCTGAGCCAAGCCCCAGGCCTCCCCGGCCAAACTGAACATTACCTACAATCTCTGCATGTCTAAGAGCTGCCTCTGCCTCCTGAACTGCCGATCTTGGGTTCCACTTCCTCCCCTTGGTTGGATTTGGAACCACACTCCTAACTACCACGTCCTTACTCCCAGATAACAAGAGCTCTGTCCTGACCTTGGTACATTTAAATTCCTCTGTTAAACTAGATACTGGCAGCTGAAGTATCCCTTTTCCATACAATGCAACACTACTTAGGCACCTAGGAGCGCCCAACCACTTCCTAATGTAGGAGCTAACCGACCTTTCCATTCTCTCCACAACAGATATTGGAATTTCATAAACTGACAATGGCCACATTAACCTAGGATATAGCCCAAATTGCAAACACCACAACTTCAACTTTCCTGGAAGTTCTGATTTATCTATTCTATCCAATCCTTCAGCCACATCTTTTCTAAATTTCACCACCTGTTCCTTATCATTCAACTCTACATTGTACCACCTACCTAAGCTCTTTACTGACTTTTCCCTAATTGTTGGGATGTCCTCATCATCTATGACAAACTTCCTATCACTTAACTTCCCTCTACATATCGAGATGCTTCTAGATTTACTAGGCTTGATTTTCATGCTGGCCCACTTGAGGTTCTTATTTACCTTCTCTAGTAGCCTCTTTGTACATGGCATTGTTGTGGTCACCAGTGTCATGTCATCCATGTAAGCCCTAACTGGTGGAAGATGCAACCCATTCTGCCGTCTCTCCCCACCTACCACCCACTTAGAAGCCCTGATGATTACTTCCATTGCCATAGTAAATGCTAATGGAGAAATTGTACACCCTGCCATGATGCCTATTTCTAGCCTCTGCGAACCTGTTGTGAAACCTGCTGTACTTAGACACAACCTAATATCCTGAAAGTATGCTTTCACTAAGTTAACAACTACCTGTGGCACTCTGAAGTAGTCAAACGCACTCCAAATGAGGCTGTGCGGTACTGAACCAAATGCATTTGCAAGATCTAAAAATATTACATGCAGGTCCCTTTTGTTAATCTTCGCTGCCTGAATCTGGTGCCAGATCATGCTAGTATGCTCTAAACACCCTGAAAAACCTGGTATTCCTGCCTTCTGCACCATGGTATCTATTAAGCTATTCCTTTCTAAGTAGCTAGCTAGTCTCTGCGCAACTACACTAAAGAAAATCTTCCCCTCCACATTCAAGAGAGAAATGATCCAGAACTGGCTAAGGTCCACAGACTCCTTCTCCTTAGGAATGAGGACACCCCCTGCCCTACGCCATGCTCTTGGTATAATTTGTTTCTCCCAAACTATTCTTAGCTGTTTCCACAACAATTTAAGGATATCAGGTGCACAGTCAATAGCATCAATGCCTTCGTCATCCAGGAGCTGCTGACACACTCCAGCCACATGAGGCTGGGTCCTGCATCAGAGGGAACCCTGGGCCCACTGCACCAGCATATGGTCTGACAGTGGGTCTGAGGATCTCATCCCAGTACCTAACAGCAGTCAGGGTACCTCTGGCTAGCACGTGGAGGTCTGTGCGGCCCTCCAAGGATCTGCCTCCCCAGACCATCACTGACCCACCACCAAACCGGTCATGCTGGAAGATGCTGCAGGCAGCATAAGTTCTCCATGGCGTCTCCAGACTCTGTCACGTCTGTCAGATGTGCTTGATTCACAATCAGTGTTGCTTCCTAACTGGACAGGTTGATATCCCAGGAGTTCGATTGACCTTGAGTTACACTGTGATGATTATGTGTTCCCTTTATTTGTTTGAGCAGTGTATATTTGTAACCACCAGCTGTAGGTGACGTCACTGTTTCCTCCAGGTGTGTGTCGAGTTTACTCACCCAGCAGCAGCAGCAGTGAAGCTCCCAGAGCCGACAGGTGAGAAAACTTCAGCTCCAGAGTCAACAGGTAGACCAGAGGGACACAGAGGGCTCCACACAGAGCGGGCAGCAGCCGCAGACTCCACACGCTCACACTGCTGGGATACTCTGTACGACAAAACAAACACACCCACACTGCTGGGATACTCTGTACGACAAAACAAACACATCCACACTGCAGAGATACTCCGTACTACAAAACAAACACACCCACACTGCTGGGATACTCTGTACTACAAAACAAACACACCCACACTGCAGAGATACTCCGTACTACAAAACAAACACACCCACACTGCAGAGATACTCCGTACTACAAAACAAACACACCCACACTGCTGGGATACTCTGTACGACAAAACAAACGCACCCACACTGCAGAGATACTCCGTACTACAAAACAAACGCACCCACACTGCTGGGATACTCTGTACGACAAAACAAACGCACCCACACTGCAGAGATACTCCGTACTACAAAACAAACGCACTCACCAAAACCAGTTCAGACCAGTTTTAACTGGTTCAGACTGGTGTGGGGGGGTGGGTGGTGTTTACAGTACCTGCTCCGATTCTGTTCCACACAAAGTTTCCGTCGAATCCTCCCAGGTACGCTGCAAAACACACACACACACACACACACACACACAGGAGTGACATCATCACACAGGTTTGTGACATCATCACACAGGTTTGTGACATCATCACACAGGTAGCATCATGTAGGACTGTGTGGTTGTCGTGGTAACTGACCTCCAAGGGCCAGGATCATGTGACCAAGTGGCGGACCGCTGTCATCGATGAAGAAAACTCTCTTCATGTAGAGAGACACAAACTGACCGTAGTACACCTCATCGAACCTGCACACACACACACACACACACACACACACACACACATTTAAAATGAAATCAAACCTCAGACATCTGATTGTCTTTAAACTCACTGTTTAGTGTTTTTAAAAAATATTGTGTCTTTTACTGTAAACGTTGTGTGTATGATGTGTGTGTGTGTGTGTGTGTGTGTGTGTGTCTGTGCAGGTGTATAAAACAAACACACTCACACCACAGCATTGGGGTAACTGAGGCGGCTCAGTCGGGTCCAGAGGGACAGCAGGGACACCAGCAGCAGGACCACGTCCACCTGGGCCGTCACCACCAGGGGGAGCTGCATCACTGACACCTGAGACAGGTGAGACACACACAGGTGAGACACACACAAGTGAGACACACACAAGTGAGACACACACAGGTGAGACACACACAGGTGAGACACACACACAGGTGAGACACACACAAGTGAGACACACACAGGTGAGACACACACACAAGTGAGACACACACACAAGTGAGACACACACAGGTGAGACACACACACAGGTGAGACACATACACAGGTGAGACACACACACAGGTGAGACACATACACAAGTGAGACACACACACAGGTGAGACACACACAGGTGAGACACACACACAGGTGAGACACACACAAGTGAGACACACACAGGTGAGACACACACACAAGTGAGACACACACACAAGTGAGACACACACAGGTGAGACACACACACAGGTGAGACACATACACAGGTGAGACACACACACAGGTGAGACACATACACAAGTGAGACACACACACAGGTGAGACACACACAGGTGAGACACACACACAGGTGAGACACATACACAAGTGAGACACACACACAGGTGAGACACACACACAGGTGAGACACACACACAAGTGAGACACACACACAAGTGAGACACACACAGGTGAGACACACACACAGGTGAGACACATACACAGGTGAGACACACACACAGGTGAGACACACACACAAGTGAGACACACACACAGGTGAGACACACACAGGTGAGACACACACACAGGTGAGACACATACACAAGTGAGACACACACACAGGTGAGACACACACACAGGTGAGACACACACACAAGTGAGACACACACACAAGTGAGACACACACAGGTGAGACACACACACAGGTGAGACACATACACAGGTGAGACACACACACAGGTGAGACACACACACAAGTGAGACACACACACAGGTGAGACACACACACAGGTGAGACACACACACAGGTGAGACACACACACAGGTGAGACACACACACAGGTGAGACACACACACAAGTGAGACACACACACAGGTGAGACACACACACAAGTGAGACACACACACAAGTGAGACACACACAGGTGAGACACACACACAGGTGAGACACATACACAGGTGAGACACACACACAGGTGAGACACATACACAAGTGAGACACACACACAGGTGAGACACACACACAAGTGAGACACACACACAGGTGAGACACACACACAGGTGAGACACATACACAAGTGAGACACACACACAGGTGAGACACACACACAAGTGAGACACACACAGGTGAGACACACACACAGGTGAGACACATACACAGGTGAGACACACACACAGGTGAGACACATACACAAGTGAGACACACACACAGGTGAGACACACACACAAGTGAGACACACACACAGGTGAGACACACACACAGGTGAGACACACACACAGGTGAGACACACACACAGGTGAGACACACACACAGGTGAGACACACACACAGGTGAGACACACACACAGGTGAGACACACACACAGGTGAGACACACACACAAGTGAGACACACACACAGGTGAGACACACACACAAGTGAGACACACACACAAGTGAGACACACACAGGTGAGACACACACACAGGTGAGACACACACACAGGTGAGACACACACACAGGTGAGACACACACACAAGTGAGACACACACACAGGTGAGACACACACACAAGTGAGACACACACACAAGTGAGACACACACAGGTGAGACACACACACAGGTGAGACACATACACAAGTGAGACACACACACAGGTGAGACACACACACAAGTGAGACACACACACAAGTGAGACACACACAGGTGAGACACACACACAGGTGAGACACATACACAGGTGAGACACACACACAGGTGAGACACATACACAAGTGAGACACACACACAGGTGAGACACACACACAAGTGAGACACACACACAGGTGAGACACACACACAGGTGAGACACACACACAGGTGAGACACACACAGGTGAGACACACACACAGGTGAGACACATACACAGGTGAGACAGTTCTGACTTGGTGTTATCAAAAACATAATAACAATAATCTGATCTAACTAACTGCTTAATCAATTAATCGATTAATCATTTGAGATGCTTTAATAAACTCTGTGACGTCATCACTTCAGAGGGACTCAAACACAGTGTAACACTGGAATCAACGATAAATACGGTCCTTGAACGCATCACAGGAAAGCATCTGATCAATCTCCGATAATGTGATCGATCAGTTTGAGCAGGTAAAAAGGTTGTGACGCATGTAAACATCAGAGGAGGTTAATAACAGTGATGACGTCACAGATCAGCTGCAGTCTGTTTATATTTATATTTGATATTTATCACGTGAGCAGCTGCAGATTGAAACTCAGGGAGCTGAGTTAAATAACGTTAGCAGCCTTTAGCATTAGCCTCACTGTTAGCCGGTAGCTCTCAGAGTTCCGTTACATCCCCGCTGTCTAAAACTCACCTGGTGACGTCACAGTGTGAGTTTTGACCCGACCATCCTGTCGGTCACCTTCCGATTGTCCGCTCCTCCGGTGTTCGGTGGGTCTTCTTCCGTTTTCTTTCTCCGGTTTGTTTTGAGCAGCGGCCGCTCGATGCTTCCGGTGTTTGACTGCTGCTGCCTGCTCACTGAGCCGCTCGATGCTTCCGGTGTTTGACTGCTGCTGCCTGGTCACTGAGCTCATTGACTTCATGTCAGCTTTATTCACACAGCAAATGTCACACAGCAGGGCGACTCTTCACAGAGCAATACAATATAAACCATAATAAAGGAAAGAGACAAAAATATATTATAAAAGTGAAATTAATTACTGAATGATTTACAATAAAAAAATCACTTTTAAAAACAGTAAAACTGCAGAAAAGAGGTGCAAAAATATAAAGATATAAATGGAACTTAAAAATACGTTTGCAGTCATTACGGGTGGAGCAGGGGTCAGAGGGGTCAATATGTCACATTTGTTTTATTTTTATTGTCCTTTTCTTTGGTTTTGTTTTCTGTTTTCTAAATGCTCTGTATCTTTATTATTCTGTTCAGATATGTTTATATAAAAAAAATCTCTGTTGTCAGTTCATTAAATGTTTTTTGTAATATAATATATATAAGAGCAAGAAATGAACAGTTTGCATTTTTTTTTTAATTTTTTGTTTAATTTTTTGTGTTTCTTTCAAACATCTATTTTTACTTTATTGTAAGAGTTGTGAACGTGTGTGTCTTGATATTATAATGATTACAGTTAATGATTTCAGCTCTGCTGTATTATTGTGTTGTGCTTTTATACCTGATAAAAAATAAAGTGTTTCAAACTTTGGAGTCAGATCAAACTCATCAGATCTTTGTAGTTTCAGCTGTGACTGAAGAACCCTTGCACACAGTAAAAACACATCTCATGATGTCCGCTGAAGTTTATTACATAAATGTGACAGTTTGTTTTGTTATTGATCAACACACTGATCACAGATCTGTGTCAGGCCTCTGTTTGCTCCATGATAGCTAAATGCTAACTGCTGTTAGCAGCTCCATATATTGATTATCAATAACAAATCAAACTTAATAAATTGATCATATTCAGGACGGCTGGCGTTAGATAATGTTTCCTGTTATTGTCAGGGGGCGGAGCTAATCACCAAATAATTATAAATCTTGACCTTCATCACTTTCTGGTGCTTTTTACGTTATCAGTGAACTAAGTTAACATTTGTACTTTGTTAAGCTAACATTAGCCTGCAGACGCTCTCATTAATCTGGAGATAAAACTGGTCACTGTTTTCAGTCAGAGGTCACACCACAAAGATATGATGAGACTCCTCCCACTCTGTCACTGACGTCATCACCTTTCCTTCTTCCTTTCCCTGTGTTTGACTGGTGCTGCATGCAGGGTTACTATGGAAACAGTAGCTGTTTCTATTATTAATAAAGTTTTAACCCCATCCAATCAGAAAACAGGAAGTAAACAGTGATGTTTATTGTGATATTGCTTTGAATATGTGAACAGTTCTGAGGTCAGATACAGGAACAGGCCACACCCACCAGGAGTGCACATCAGCCCCAAAACACCTGGCTAACACCTGGCTAACCCCGCTTAGCTCCAGGATAACCCCAGATAACACCTGAATTACACGTGGCTAACCCGGGACTAGCTCCAAGCTAACTTCTGCTAAAACCTAGCTAAACTTTGTCAGTTGACGTTGTTGCAGGAACAGTCTAGATAAATACATGTTAGCACAAACTGTTAGCCACAATTAGTTTCCTTGAGATTAGCTTCCTTTTGGGGCTGTTGCCAGGCGTCAGCACGAGTTCAGGTTAGCACCAGGTTGATCCACCTCAGTCCTCAGTATCAACAAGTTAGCATTAAGGTAGCACAGGCTAGCCTTGTGACGTTCCAGGATAGCTCAGGTTAACTCAGTGCAAGTTTAGTCTGTTTTGGTCTGTCATCTCTGATTGGCTCGTGGGGCGTTTCGAGGGCGGATCCTGAGAGAGAGGTCCCACAATGCCTCCTCTGCCAGGTGATCGTTGAAATCATTGAAGAAAGATATGATGTCATCATTTGGCTGCAGAGCGTACGGACTGGAGAGAGACAGAGAGACAGAGGCAGGTGAACACAGTTGAGGACAAACTGCAGAACTAATATTTATAACTGTAGTAAAGGTACTGCAGGTAACTGACACTTGCTGGTAGTTCCTCAGAGTGTCCAGGATGTTGAACTGCTGCCAGCGTTTAGAAAAGTTGACCTTTGAACCCTCCGATGTCATTAACATGTCAGGATTCCCCAGGTGGACGAAGGTCAAGTCCTGAAGAATCAAACCCCTGAACAGACAGACAGGTGAGACAGAGACAGGAATACTAACGTTTGTACTGGGTATTAACGTACAGGTAGGGTATATATAGCCGGGTATTAACGTACAGGTAGGGTATATACAGTGGGGTATTAATGTACAGGTAGGGTATATACAGTGGGGTATTAATGTACAGGTAGGGTATATACAGTGGTGTATTAATGTACAAGTAGGGTATATACAGTGGGGTATTAATGTACAGGTAGGGTATATATAGCTGGGTATTAATGTACAGGTAGGGTATATATTCTCATTAGTATATATTAGTCATTAGTCATACTTCTACTGTTATTATACACATATGACTATTGTCACACAAGTATGCTGTCTGATATTAATACATACTTTCAACATATTGTACCACAGTAGCCAGAACTATAACTATAATATTATTACTTTCATTAATGTTGTTGTAAGCTACTGTCATTACCTGCATCTCTCTCTCTCTCTCTCTCTCTCTCTCTCTCTCT